TGGTACACAAACTCACAAAACACCACCAAGATGGCGCTGGTTGGTTCACTCACCATGAAACATAATCAGATCTTCTCCCCAATGGACGGAACATCTCGCTGGACCCAACTTCACTCCCCACCTGAATCCCCGAGATTGTGACGAGGGATAATTAAAACCACTTTAGGCCTCCCGGAAGATGGAACTTAGTTAGGTGTGGAGCCCAAACTCGGTGGAACTCGAACCTTAACTTAGGATGTTGGGAGAAGAGAGAGACTTACCTTCTGGGGCTTGTTGACGTCGATCTTGTCCCAGCGGGGGATGTCGTTGCGGTTGAGCCTGCGGGCGAGATATACATTCATCTTAATATTTACACTTCTCTCTGGCCAGTGCGGAGGTGTTACATTAAGACTTACCAAACTCTGAAGATAATTATTACTGATTACCTTAGAAACAGAAGAGCATCATCTATATTACATAACTGCATTATACATAGAGTAATATAACCTGTAATATAACATAGATCCTGAAGTGCAACATTGGCCGAAACGTTACGAATCCACCACAAATAATTCTTAAAACAACAAATTTCTCACTTGCTCACAGTATCAGCACATTTGCATATTAAATCCGAGAAATTATCCCCGTGGTGGAGTTGTGAGCACGCGCGTGTGAGAGAGTTGAGTGAGTTGGAGCACTTCAGCCTATTAACACTTCATTCATCATGCCAGTGTTGACGTCCTCATCATGTTGTCAAGTCGATGCTTTGTATCTGAGGAAGGAGAATTATTTTTCCCCATTTCATGATGTATTTGACAGACGATTAAGGCCAAATGAATTGTTTTTGATGGAAATTGTGTTGCTAAGGTGCTTCTGAGAGAGAATGTTTTGTTTTAATGTTATTATGGGAGAATGTAATGTTCATTGCGAGGGAAAAAATCCGTAGGGCAAAATATCCGATTTTAATTTCGTTCTGGGGGAAATGTTTCCATTACACTCTTGTACAGTTGTCAGATAGTTTTTTCATTAAATTTCTTGCTTTAACGCACAATTTGAAACAATCTTCAACGAAAAGTCAGTAGTTTTTATTCATTTTTGGAACTAAATGACTCACGGGATAAAACAGCCTCGTGGCAGAAGGACGGACATAATGTTTACCGTAATCACCTCGACGTTTCCTAACATTTATAAGGACGTTTATGGGTTTATCCCTTCAGTTGCCAGGAATAGCAGCAGCGCCCGCCGCCACCTCACTAGCTGTGCAGACGGGCGGGGCGTGGCGAGGCGCTGGGTAGGGGCCAGAGAGGGAGGAGGGCACCACCGGACATTGCTGTGGGTAGAGATAGGAGAGGTGGGAGAGCGGGAGATGAGAGAGAGAGAGAGAGAGCGTTGAGAACATCTCTAGAATAAGAAAGGTGGGAGAGGATGTGAGGGCCGCGGTGAGCAACTCTTATGAAGCAAGTAAGACGCTGGACATTACTGGAGAGATGAAGAATGGAAATATACAATAGGTAAAGATGCTGGGAACAACTCCTAGAAGGGATGGAGTTGTAGGATAGTGACACGAGGGGCTGGTTGGGTAAGGATAGGAGGGACGCTCGTAGGATCTCCAAGGCTAATGACAATGAGAAGCCTGCCATGGTCACCTCAAAATTGGACTCCAAGAAGGACATTCACATCAAAAACAATATTTGAACTGGCAGACGTAAAACACTAAACTTATTCCTTAGAGACGGACCCGTATACCAGAGAAAATTTGAGCCAGGATTTAACGGGACCCGACAATAAGCGAGCACTTGAGACGGGATTAAACAGGCCTTAAACTTGACCCGTATGCTAACGAGGCTTCTTTAAATGGCACCCGTAAACGAACGAGGCTTCTTTAAATGACACCCGTAAACGAACGAGGCTTCTTTATATGGCACCCGTAAACGAACGAGGCTTCTTTAAATGGCACCCGTAAACGAACGAGGCTTCTTTAAATGGCACCCGTAAACAAACGAGCCTTCTTTAAATGGCACCCGTAAACAAACGAGGCTTCTTTAAATGGCACCCGTATACGAAGGAACAATTGAGACAGGACGGTAGCTCATAAGGGGGACACAGAGATAAGATACAGCTGAGAGAAATGCCATCACTAATCTCCCTGAGCCGGTAATTCCTACACCGTTTTTTTTATAGTTTATATAGATAGATACTCCCAGACGACGATTACAACTCAGTTTTTGGTTACAGCTTCCACCGTCCTGTTCTGTTACCTTGATTATGGGAAATTATCACTTATTAAGGCGTAGAGGAATGTGTTAGAAATATATGGATTGAGTCACTCGTATATTCTTATTGGAACGTTAACAAATGAACAACTGTACAATAATAAACCATAATTGGATATTGAAGTAACGGTAAATCATAATATAGTTTATATTCGTGTTATAATTATGTTCAAGGGTATCATGAACTAAACACATAATAGAGTACAGTGTAAATGTGCCAGTTTTTTTTTTCCTTTTTTCTTTTAATTTTTTTTTAGATATCCAATTTTTTTTGGGGGGGTTAATGTTACGAGTATGTTTCTAGCATTAAGAATTACACACACACACATACATACATACATGTATTTATTTATTTATCCCTTAAGGGTATATAACTCCACCCAGCAATCCTTCAATATATATACAGTATATATCCCGGCAGTCGGACGTGAACTAAGAGTGGCAAGCGGTACGTGGGCAGCGCGTTATATATCGTGGAAGGATTACTCTCTTTCTTGATATGAACGCCCCGCGGCCGCCACAAAGCTCCCGAGATTACTCCATCATCAATATCCGCTTTCACGCACCCACAACAATTGATCCTGGCAAGAAAGCAATCAATCGTCAACTGAGGGAGAGGAGTCTTGTGGGATGGAGGAGTCTTGGCGGAACGGTTGGATTGGGGGGGGGGGGAGACGGGAGTGAGGCTGGATTAATTGTTGGCTGTACGGAGATAAATGTTGTGTGGACCGCTAAGGGTATCGTCTTGTTTGCCTTAAGACGAACAGCTATTGTAAATGCCGAAAAACTGGTTAGGATTTTAAAAGGATTTTGCGAAAGTTTATCTACACTAAAAACGTCTAGAAAGGCTTACTAATTAATCCCTACTATACTGACAGGACCAAGTTGAATAGGTTATCCGTATTGTAAAATAAAATACGATCTAATGTTCTAAAAGGTTGTTCAGGGCTCATGTGATATATTATTATGCCTTCAGTAAATTTTAGTTATACGTTCTTTCAAGTACTGTGGTTACCTCAAAGCTAAAGACTGTATTTAGGACATATAGGTTTACAGTAGGTAGCTGGGATTAAATTAGGTCAGGAAATTCACAAGACGCTAAGTACACTATCTTAAAACCATTTGTTATTGGGCCGTAAGATTTGTTTACATAATTGTTTCAAGGTAGATTTGTCGTGTTAGATGATTGTGAAGAAGACAGATTATATTATCACTTATGAACCCCCCCAAAATATGGATTACTTAGTCTTTTATTATATAGTAGCTAAAGTACCTCTACTTATATTTCTGAATCAAACTTCTGATATGAATGTGTGTAGAATGGGAGTTAGGTTTCAGCTCGGCAGTTGTGAGGGACCATTAGCCATTAATGCGATCAATACTTAGTACGGTGGCAGCTTACCCTACAAATTTGAATATCAATTGACAAGAGGAAAATGCTAACACAAGTTTTTTTTCGGAAAATTTTTAATTCTAAGTAGTTTAATATAATTTATACCGAAACTTGGTGGGTGTGGATTCCGTTACGAAGTATATATTATATTAACCCTTAAGTTTAGAAAATTTAGTGTTTAAAGTAAAAGGGAAACTTGTTTAAGCCTGAAGGTACAGAATGTTGGTTTTGACCCCCCCCCCCCCTACAACCCCAGTGACCGACTCCTGCACCGGTTAGTCTTTTACGTCTAATTACAACAAGAAGTCTCCTGTGAAGGATTTAGACGTATGAAGATGGAGAAGCCTAATGGTGGAGAGCGTCTTCCTGCCCCCATTGTGACTTATATATAAGATTTATAACAGAACACACATTATGCTGCTCCCAAAAACATATATGAGTGCTGGGTAAAATATGCTTGTTTTGCGTAAATAATAATAACAATAATACTACTACTACTACTACTACTAATAATAATAATAATAATAATAGGGACTGTAAATTTAAATGGTGACAAGTGCGGCAAATTGAACTCTTGTGTAAACAGTGCTTATTATAACTTATGATTTCATTATTTATAGAAAATGATTAACTGGAGCGCTAATTATTGGGGTAACTTGCTTACTGCTGTCAATATTTAGAGCCGCTCTCAACACACACGCATATTGTAACTATTTATCTTATACGTTAAGGGAAAACTTATCTGTAATATTAGGACTTTAACATTTGATGTTAGAGTTACGTGGAAAGGCAATAGTATCAAAGCTAACTGTATGTAGTACTCAAAATCCGAAAGGAAGAGCAGATTGTGGTAAGGGAAGAGATGGGAAGGAAAGGTGATAAACTGATAATAGTTGGAATGGAAGAAACGATTAAAAAAATAAAGCCATACGTTTAGGTATAAATGGCACAATAATATGGAGGTTATCGGATTGGATTACAGGGCCCAGTATGGGAAAAGGCGCATATGCTATTGTTCTATAGAGTAGAAGTATGGATAACGATCAATGCAAAGATCCTCATAAATATTAAAATTATGCTTGTTGTGTCTCTCATGGAAGTTCACTAACAGAATGAAGATCACTTATGAAACAATTAAAGTTACTTGTCGGTAATTCCAGACAGTTTTCTCTAATCTCCCACGATGGCTTATAATGTGGGACGCTGGCAGGTGGAAACCAAGATTGTTATGAAGCCCTCTGGCCGACCTGCTATCTAGTTATCAGTGTAATCACCAGTGGTGGTCGACGATGATAACGCTCGGTATCAGCCTTTCATTGTAAGGTGGAGTGAGCTCGCCATCAGTATCTGTGGAGGCTCTGCCTCAACATCATCGTTGTAATTACTCTTGCGTTCAACCATAATCAGTCTTAACAAGTGTTCAAGTTTGAAAAAAGTGAGCATGATATATAAATATATCTTTGTTCTGCCAATTATGGAACTCGGTGTTTTAGTCAATAAGGTATTGATATACAAAATCTACACCGAAATCGGACAATGGACACCATTGTGAAAGTGCGTTCGAATGAATTTGAAGAATATTTGAAGAAAAAAGTAACCCAATCTGTGTAATCTTCTGAGAAAAAAAATATTTTGATGCATAGAAGATACCAATTAGCGCTAGTGTATAAGAACGTTCGAGTGAAGCAGAACTTTCAGAAGGCGACTTAAAATAAAATAAATTACCGGTTATTTCTTGGTAAAATTTAAAATAAAATAATATATAGTATAATGAAAGACAACAATTTACGCAAATTCATAATAATTAAGCGAAAGTAAGGATGAAACCGTTTCTAGACTGGATGAATGGCAGAGGGACAGTGACTGTGAGGTGGTGAGTGTAGACTGGTGGTCGTTGATCACTGACCAGAGACTTAAACAGGCGACGATGAACACCATTGACGACTCCATGATACCTGCTGTGAAGCGCTACACGGGGGCCATTGTCTACAGGACCTCTCGTAGACCTCCGATAGTTGCATGTATGTATTGGAAAGGGAATATGTTGTAGTAAATGAGGTGGGGGAAGGGATTTTGTTATTGACATACTTGGTGTCCCCCAAAGCCGGTAGTTTATTACAGGAATCAAATTCGTGTAACCGTGTTTATGTAGGGTTGTGAGGTCTGGGTGGTGGTGAGGTAGGTAGGTAAGGATGAACCCTGGTGAAGGTGGGGGAGATGGAGGGTAAAGGCAGCCCCATAAGTTGCCACCTTCCCGGCATGACGGTGGTTAAATGGCTTCCCGCGATGTTTAAAACTCGGGGTTAACACCACCTAGCCATCATTTAGTGCCCTGCCTGCTGGCTGCCGAGTTGTTCCTCCACTTAGTGTGTTACTTGTGAGCGTTGCGCTGTACATTGTCCAAGTGTCTTATTGGAACAGTGGTTGTTCTTTGTTCCAGCTCCAAAATATTTGAATTCAGTGAGTATTGACAACTAAAATTTTTCTGGGTCGTAATTTAGTAAACATTGCACTTCGTGGTTGCATAGCATATGTGGCATAGGCAGTCCTATCCCATTAAAATAGGTAGGGTTCACCTAGTTTTAATTTGCCCCGTGTGTGTGTAGGTTGCGACTCACGTGTCAGGGCTAAAGGTAAGATTTACCATGAAAATTGTTTAGATTTTTTATAGTTGGTCCCATTAAAACACAGTTGATGTTATATATCCATAAAAAAAATCATAAAAGTTTTACATCTTCAAGTAACAAGAATTCTAGAAACAAAATTCCAAAATCACATGCCCCATAAAGAAATGTTGCTAAACTAATTTATTTGAACAAGAATGAACCAGTGAGGATTGCCAAACATTGGCCCTTTTTTTTTCGAAACTCATAGTCCAGTTCAGTGATGAATTTGTAATAAACCAGGTAAAGTGGAGTAACAATCATATCGTAAAGTGGATTTTACGAAGTGAGAAGAGGGTTTTGATATACTTTACAGTACAGTATTGTAATTCAATGACATACATGCACATTCTTCACATATAACTGTACCTATGGAAAGAGATGTTGAATAATGGAAGAAATAATTTGAACAAAGAATCAAAAGTTAATTTTATTTAGTAAGCACAGCAGTGCCTGAACTTTTGACATGGCAACTGGGAGATCCTGACAATAAACCATTTTTTGAAAATGGCATGACTGACTAAACAATTTACCCAGGAACTGTAATAGTGTACTTGCTTGCCTACTGTAGGCTATTATAATTTTTAATTTTTCTCATAGAAGAAAAATTAGTACCTAATAATTAGACAAAATTGAGTGTTTAAAAGCAAAAATAAAAATTTCCATATTTCTACTCCGAAAGGCTGGAAGCTGACAACAAGTTCCTTACTGTATCAATATAGTACAGTATTTCAATGTTGCTAAACATAAAAACATGCATAACTCGTGTTACTTACGTGACATCAGTCTTGGTCATGAGAGCGTACCCGCACCAAGCGGACACACCCACAACGGCAAACCCCATGATACCCACAAGAGGCAGAATCTGAAATGAAAAGAATTTATATATATATATATATATATATATATATATATATATATATATATATATATATATATAAATCATATTATATATATATATATATATATATATATATATATATATATATATATATATATATATATATAAACCATGTGAAGTTCCCAGGCGCTTTACGTGTGCTCCAGCCTGAGATGGATTACAGCTTGAACCCATTGCCATTATGATTTATCATGTGCCAATTCTGCCTTTTACAGTGATTTACCCACGCCACATACATATATATATATAACCATATGCTGCCTACTGCCTATATATATATATATATATATATATATATATATATACAGTATATATATATACACACACACACACACACAATGCATATACAGTACTATAGACTAGTAGTAAAGTTTTCCATTTTTTAATAGGATGTACCCTACTGTTATAATTTTTTAATAATTTTGTAAATTAATTTGTCTACACTGAATATTATTCTAAAAGACTTTTCTCTTTCAGCCGGGAGTGTTGGTTTGGTCAAGGGTGACCTAAATAAGATGGATGGCGTTTCGCCCAATGAACACATGAACGGATCTTCAGGAGCATCACAGGGTGGGTCATCAGGGCGGTCCTCACCTTCAGGTTGGTCGTACAGCTCTTCAAAACCATAATCTGGCAATTAATTACCATCAAAATATTTTCAAGTTTTTATTTTATTTTATTTGTCACAACTAGTGGGACAGAATATTGCCAAGAAGTACAGTACAGTATACTGTACTGGTATGTGTGTGTGTAGGTGCAGGAAAGAGTTTCTAGGACAAGAGGTTGTGTTCAGCAGTTTACTTGATAACATTTATAGCGACAGTGCCTCTAGTGAGATGCCTGCTCAACTTGGTTTTATGCAGCAGTAAATTGCAGTTTGATTTAAAAAAAAAAAGTGTTCATTTTTTCTCCCTTCAGGGGATGCAGAAGGTAAGAGCACTTAAGAGTTCCTGAGAAAGGTACTGAAAAGGTCATTCAGTGTTTAGTCCAGTTAGTGTGTCAAGAAAATTTTATACTTTTGTATGGGTTTTTTTCCCAGATCTGACAAATGGGCAGAGCATGCAAGAATAAGTACAACTAGAATTTTTTTTGGTCTGATGTAATTAAGCTTTTTCTTTAGTGGAAAGAATGATAAATTGTCTTACACAAAGCTGAGAAAGTTTTCAAAACAGTTTTGCTGAAAAGACTCAAGGAGTGTATGAAGAAAAATCAGCCCAAAAGTTGCATACTTGCTGTTATGGTGTAACACCTCATGGTCCCATTACCTTCTTACCATCAGTGACCTGCTGAGTGGAAACCTCTTCCTAGAAACAATTTGGCTACAGTATATACAGTAGCTAACTATTTTCCATAAAGATAATTTGTTATACCATGGGAAATTGATGAGTATCTCCAGCAATGTCTTTCCATTCCTCCCCAATACAGATAAACTAAAGGAAGTTGAAGAGTTTGTCATTTGCTGGTTCATTTCTGAGAGTCGATGTCTTTATACAGTTTGACTTAAGAAATTAAAACAGTTACAACATTACTATATATCCCAGTGTTCCTTATTACAGAGGTTTCTAGCTTGCCAAATACTGGCTAGGACAGTGCGCTATTATGTGACTTCACTTGTTTAATTGCTATGTTGGTTATGTAGGAGAAACATTGTGCATCATTCTGGGGATTGTACTAGAAGATTTAGCTGCCTGGCTAAATCTTCAATTTCACAGTCTCTTTGAGGTGTTATACACACAATTAGATATTTCATTCCCTGGAGTAAAATTGATAATTTGTTTATGCTCTATATAACAGATCCTGCCCCAAACAAGATGTTCGTGGGTGGCCTCTCTTGGCAAACAACCCCAGAGAAATTGCGGGAATACTTTGGCTCTTATGGGACAGTGAGAGATGTTCTCATCATGAAAGATCCCGTTACACAGGTGAGACTCGTGAAGCTTTCCCCATTTTTTCAGTCTCAAATAAACCACATGTTAATGGATAGATAAAGCAGTGTTTGATCTACAGTAGCTGTGAGTGAAACATAATATATATATACAGTAGGTATACTGTATATATATTGATCTTTTATAAAGTGTAATTACACCATAAGGAAGTTTTTTTTTTTTGTGTGTGTGTGTGTGTTATCTATGATTAAATGAGCATCAAAAATTTACTTGACAGGTAGGAAGCAATCTCTATCTTACAAAGGTTTTCAAAACTAATGAAAGTTTTTTCCTCTTGGAGTTATTGATATGGCACTGTACTGTACAATGTGAAATGCACTGCAAGTCTCCCTGAAATTTGTTTCCATCCACATTTATGAATTTAAAGTTGTAAGTTTCTAAAACACTCATGTCAAATATGAATGCAGATTTTTTTTTTTTTGACATAAAGTAACAAAAAGTAAAAGAATTGATTAGATAAAGAGTGAATACTTAGCAAAGATAAAATATGAAAAAGTCCTTGATAAAGATACTTGAATGAAGTACTTTTGATGAATGACAGTGCAAGTAGACTACATTATGGATGGATTAAAGTGGTAAATGTGTGATAAGATCAAGGCTATGCCATTGGAGGAAGTCAGATGACTGGTTTAGGAGACTGCACAGAGGAGACAAATTGGGTATTACTTTAGGAAAAATGTGAGTGACAAAGTAGCTTCATGAATGGAGTGAAGTGAATTAACAGAGCATAGGGAATTTTTGTATTATTATTATTTCCCACTCAAGAGAGCCAAGTTGATGTATGACTATTTTGTGTTCCCTTAAGAGTTGTTATATACTATATGCACATGACATTTCGTAACTGTCCCCAAAAATGAGAAATTAGAGCATAGGATGGGATGCATTAGTCTATGAAGCCATACTTGTGACAAGCTTTGGTGAGGGGCTTGGAAACCTAGTAAGTGCCAGAGCCATGGAGGGCCTGAAACAAATCCCATTAGGCTTGAGGAATTGTGTCTGCCGAAGGTAAAAGAAGCCAATTAGTGGAGCTTCTACTGTGCAGTTGTCAATTCCAGCACTTCTCAAAGAGTTTCTTTAACTATTCATTCTCACATTTTTGTCCTTTATCAATATTTATTAAACTTTTCCCTTCTCCTGAGGAAGGAGTTAATACTTTATTTTGATAATGGTATTACTTTTATATTTACTAGAAACTTGTTAGAGAAATATATCTATAACTATATTTATTAGAAAGTTGCCAGACAAGAAAGTTAACACATAACTTATTAACTCTCAGATAATTCTTTGTGATGGGAGTCAGAGATGGGAGAAGCTGAAAGATGGGTGAGAGGTGAGGTATCTAGTTTGACTTGGGCATTGCTGCCAATGATCAGTGTTGATTTGATTATATTTTCCTTTGTCGCACAGTCTCACAAGTTACTGTATTGGAAGTGGTGTTTTTACGTTGTTGGGCAGTCTTGTGGTGTATTTACTGAGGGTTTGATTATGTGTAGAAAGTGCCACCTATTTAAAACACACACACACACACATGAACACACACACACACACACACACACACACACACACACCGCATGAACACACCACCACACACATGCATGAACAAGCACACACACACACACACACACGAACACACTGCAGCATGAACACCTGCAGCACACACCACATACATACACACAACACCACATACATACACACACCACATACATACACCCACCACACATACACCCACCCCACATACATACATACACCCACCCCTTACATACATACATACACCACCCCCCCACTTACATACACCCACCCCATTTACATACATACACCCACCCCACATATACATACATACACCCACCCCACATACATACATACACCCACCCCACATACATACATACACCCACCCCACATACATACATACACCCACCCACATACATACACATACACACCCACCCCACATACATGTATACACCCACCCCACATACATACATACACCCACCCACACACATACATACATACACCCACCCCACATACACATACATACACCCACCCCCACATACATACATACACCCACCCCATACATGTATACACCCACCCCACATACGCACACCCACCCCACACACGACACCCACCCCACATTGCACACCCACCCCACATACGCATAACGACACTCCACCCCACCCACGACACCCACCCCCACATGAGCACTCCACCCCACGACGACACCCACCCCACGTGCACACCCACCCCACGCATGCATATTCCACCCCACCCACCCCGATGCACACCCACCCCACGTACGCACGCACACCCACCCCACCCACGTGACATACACACCCACCCCACCCCACGTACATACACACCCACCCCATCGCATATACACCCACCCCACGCATATACACCCACCCCACATACATACACCCACCCCATATATGTACACCCCCACACACATATACACACACACACTGCCACTCATACATACATACAAACATACAAGCAAACGTACATATATACATACATATAATATGCATAGAAAAAATTAATAATGTGTAATGCAAGTTTGTGAATTAAGATCACCTGTTTGTGGTCAGACAATTATAATCCTCAATTGCCATATGTTCATGAATACTTCCATGTAGTTGTTGCAGCTGATGAGATACTGTATACTGTTCATACATAACTTATACTACTGCAGCTTCAGCAACTACACCATAACAGCAATTGGTGGGTGTAATAATCTGATCATATAACACACAGAAGTGTAGTAGATAATAAATAGATGGAGTTTTTTAGTCAGATTGTAGCATACATATACAGTTAAGGAGATGTTTTTGTTTTGCTACTGCTGGTTACAGATAAGCTACAGTTGGCTCACGTTTAGGGCATTGTGACATGTAAAGCCTTGATCCATATATGCGTATATGATCACGTTTGGTACCGGTAGCATTGATGGGATTAACAAGCAATTATTGCATTTAGTTTTGGTGTAATCTGGAGAAGTAGCAACAAAAACTTTAGTAATTCGAAACCTTTATTTCTCTCTCTCTCTCTCTATATATATATATATTTATATATATATATATATATAATTACAGTATATGTGTACATATAGCTATTAATTTTGTATGATGGGTAGGATTTAGGCTCGGATAAGAGATTTTGATCTTATGTATTGAATCAGCTTCCTCCTCTCCATATGTACATTTGGAATGCACTCTTATCTATGTCCTTGAAATAAAAAGATTATACTTACTGTATTTCATCTTTGTTTGTGATATGTGAAGAAAAGGTAATTCAATTCCCAGACCATTGTTACATACTGTTTTTGAATAAGTAACATCTTTTCACCGCCCCTCACTCGTATATAAATCTTTTTTTCTTTTTTTTTTTTTTTTTTATTACACCTTTCAGAGGAGCCGAGGTTTTGGGTTCATTACATTTGGAGATGCCAGCAGTGTTGAAAAGGTCATTGCTGTGCCCAATCATGTTCTTGATGGTAAGAAGATTGACCCTAAACACGCCACACCTAAGAATAAGGGACGCACCAACCGCACTAAGAAAATATTTGTAGGTGGTGTGAGTCAAGAGACCAGTGCAGATGAGGTTAAAGCTTACTTTTTCTTCCTTTTGGCAAGGTTTGTTTCATGATATTTTTATTACCATATCCTATGTTGCTTCATACAGAAGACCTAAGTTTGACTGGTGTGCCTGTAACCCAAATCTAACCCACTTAAGCCTTACAGATTTACTAGAAAAGGCACTAATAAAGATATTAGCTCTTGAGATTTATATCGTTATGAATTCTTAATTGCAATACTGAGAGTATAAACTCATTATAAGAAGCAACTTTTTATTTCTTTCAATGTCATGGTCAGGAAATAATATCCATAGCACGGCTGTTTTGACGTTTAGCAAATTACTTTCTTTGCTTTGGGGATTTATCTAGAAAAAAAATAAAAGATTTCTATCATAGTTTATATCAATTCAAAGAGCAGAATAGATTGACTTTTGTAAATTCCCCAAGTGTTACTTTATGAGCTCAGAGTCAAGTTCTTCAATCAATACTGTAATGGCTCCTTTTTGAGAATGTTACCACACATTAAATTTGTCACTATCTCTACAGTATATTACATACTTTTCACCATTCTTAATTATACTTAAAAGTAAACATTGTCAGACTTTGCCTGTGTGTCTATTTATCGTTAATGCTTTTTGTTACCACACCTTGATCTCACATCACATTCTAACGGATAATTAACATAACACAATACAATTTAAAGCATGAAAGTCAAGGTTGAGAGTGACATTTTTTCTCATTTAAATTTATTTATTTGTTTCCTTTTACCGGTAATCTTTAAGCATCTCCAAGTACACTGGCATCCTGCATTTTGTATTATTTTTAAATGAGATGAACACAACTAAGATTACAGTAATATTTCTCAAGAACTTGTGTGTTGTGGTAGCAATTATATTTTATAACAATAGAGAAGCATTTCTTTTTTTGTATTTTAGAGTACTGTATGTATGGTTATTATATTGTTTTACATTATTTACATTATTATTTTACATTGTATTGTTCTCTACATTATATATACAGTTCAAATATACCTGTAATTGTAGTTTTACATTATTTACATTACCATTCTACATTAGCTACACAACAGTATTTGTTTTTTTACAGTACAGTATGTGTATACTGTATACCATTTTTTGTTTTGACATCACAACATTATACATATATAAACTATTTGATACCTGTAGTAAAGGATTGACATACGTGGTAATCCCATGGTAGTAGACCTAGAGATGAGATTCAAGAATATCATAAAGTGCAGTGTAGATACTGTAAGGTTCATTGTGTTGAATAAATCAGTCAGTCCTGTATTAATTATGTATATTTAAGTGGGTGTTGATTGGTAGTCTTTTTAACATAGTTTGGCCATACTTTTTTTTTTACGTTTATTACACTGGGTGTACAATACAGTAATTCTCTCTTTAATTGTTGTTTGAAAATTTTGTTTTCTAATCGGTTGCAGGTTGAAGAAGCAGTGATGCTGATGGACAACCAGACCAAGCGGCATCGTGGATTTGGGTTTGTCACTTTTGAATGTGAAGATGTAGTAGAACGTGTGTGTGACATTCACTTCCACACCATCAAGAACAAGAAAGTTGAATGCAAGAAAGCCCAGCCTGGAGGCAGTACAAGCAGCCTCTCTGCTATCAAAGAGGCTGATAGTGAGCCAGACTGGTCTTGCCAACCCTATAATGACTGCCCAGTCAGCTCACATTCAAGCTGCTGCAGCTGCTGCAGCTGCAGCCCAGGCAGCTGCACTAAGTGGCTACGGTAAACTAGTGGGTGGGGGCGCATATCCTCCCTTGTCAGCCTACCGCTATAACTCCCCTACCTTCAGCAGCTCCCCCTACAGCAGGTCTCCCTGCAGGAACCATCTTTCTGCAGTCTCTGGTGCTCCCACCATGGCCAATCAGGCTGCTGCATTCTCCACCTGCCACACCCACCCTCCCTACTCTTACCACACATGCAGGTCTCACTACCCCATACCAGGGCTATTCTCTCACCAACGTGGATATGAGCTCTTTCCAGGGGGTAGACTGGAGTGCCATGTACGGTGTGGGCATGTATGCTTAGTTGTGCACACGCAGTTTCTCTCAGGTCCATCAGACAGCTGACCATGACTCATAGTTAAACTTTCTCCACCCACCGTCCTAAGTTCAGTTATGTCTTCCTCCCCTGTTCTATTAATTCACTGATCCTCACGTTCCTTCCCCATGCCTGACTTACACTTTGAGTCCAGCCCACCCATCATGCCGCTGTGAGCCTCCTTGCACCAGATATTCTCAGCCTCAGGGAATTGTGCATAATTTTAAGTTGTTCTCTCAGCACCCTTTGTCATATGGCTCATCTTTCTCTATCCAGATTATTCTTTCATTCCTCATATTCTCGTCTTATCCGTTCCCCAGAATCATAAATATTTGTTTTGTGCTATCCTGCTATGTGGCCTTCCTTCCCAGCTCTGTTAAGTATGTGACGCACGCAGTGCCATACCGGACCTTGGTACTGGGCTGGGCTCCAGACCCAGATGGATCTCTACAGTACTTAGTATTATGTCTCTAGGCAGTGCATGCTGCTGCCCAACACTTAGTCCATGTACTTAAAACCATTTTTCTCAAACATGAAGTTTTTGTTTATTTATTTTTGTTAATGTGCGTGTGCGTTTATAGGGTATAAGTGTCATTGTTACCATAACTTGCCCAGGCCAAGCTTAAATACTTAAACACTTGGACCTGCTCAACATGAACAAAGCAAGATGTAAATATTTGTTTGTGGATAAGATTTTCTGGCTGTCAAAATGTCTTGGCACACAAGATTAGGGTGATGACCCAAGTCGACCCATGGAAAATTTTTACTGGCGCCTCAAAGCAGGGAGCCACATTTGGTCTGCCCCGATCTTGCAAACAAGACTGGGGATATTTTTTATTTTTACAGCCACAGATCATTTTTTTTTTTTTTTTTTTTTTTTTTTTTTTTAGATTTTGCATGACACTGGGGATCAAGATTTTAGATTTGATTTACTATTAAGGCCACAAGAGTTTACGGGGTTGAGATGCAAAGCCCCGCCAGCCCTTGTTAAAGAGTCAGTGGAGTTGGTCCCCTGCTGGCTACATTCCACACTGGTCAGTGACATATGGCCGCCACAAGACGGCTTGAGCGGCCGGGACTAGCTTACTATAGCAAGTGTGTAGTAATAAGTGCGGAGCAATACTCAGTGTGCGTTGCGTTTGCTTCTCAAGTCTTCTCTGTGAAACACATAACACCTCAGTGGTACTTGCTGTGTTACACCCCATGTACCATGTACCTTATTCCTTGACCTGACTTTCCTTCCAGTCACCCCATCAATCCCTCCCCACCCCCACCCACCCATACCACAGCCTGCCTGCCATGTGTGCCATCATGCACCCACTTTTGCAGCAGTGAACTGTACTCGTACACCAAATGGTGCACATGGCAACGCCCACCGCTGCAGTCATGAGAGCGTCGTGTGGTGCACGTGGGGACCTTGGAGGCCTGGTCTTGAGGTTGCCTCGGCGACGTAAGTATCTGGGACGAGCTCTCGCCACAACACCGACGACTGTTTCCAGCAAGTGGTAACCACGGTAACATCCATCTCTGGCATGCTACGTATCCATTAATATCCTTCTAGGCCTGTCTAGGAAGTCTGGTACCAACGTAGGCAGCATAACATTTTGATACTTTTTTTGGTTCTTTTTTGCACCACATTGGAATGACCAGCAACAACCATGTAGGCCTTTTATAAATTTACTTCTATTGTACAACATTGATCTCTGTTTTCATGTTTCTGCATAGGCCTAGAGTGAGCCAATAGCTTAGACTGTAATGTAAATAGCTTTATGTGTGGTGGATCACTACCTACAAGGATTCCCGTGGTTTGATATAAGGCCATTGTTAGACTATGGAAACTTGGTAGCCTATATGTCTGGGATACATTGTTATTTTTTCTGAGATTGTGGCTGTCGTTGAGCAGATGAGCTCGGAATGCCTAGATTGTCCTCTCCACCTGCCTCTGTAATCCCCGTGTGTGTAAATGATGGGACAGGAGGGTGACCCACCCTGGGAAATGCTGCCAACCAAGCTCCAAGGGAAGTCCAGGATTGTTGGAGAAATTATATTCTGTAAATGAGCATACAGTGATTTAGTTACCTTTTTAATATCTATATTAATTTTAATTTGTGAAAAAATTAAATCCATTATTATTTTGAACACAACTATGAGCATCAAAATTGCATTTTTCCACTCTTAGCACATACGAGAAAGGGATGTATATATTCAGTGATATATACTAAGGAATTCATAAACATCAAATCCTCCCATCATCACAAATGCTCAACCCTCAAATTTAATCTGCCAAAATTTAAGAGCCCAGATGGGGTCGTCATCCTGTCCCTGCCCTGAGATACAGATAAACCAGAGAGGCCATTGGCAGACAGTGAGACTCTTTCATGTCTGCCATCCTCCTGCATCTGTATGTGACTCAGGGCCTCGGAACCACTCCCATACGTTACCTCCTGTGTATCATCTACACTGTAATTTTCATCATTTTGTACTGTTTATGATGTTGACCCACAGCTCTGGGATCAGCGCCCACCACTGGTATGTCGGTCAGATGTAGATTTGGGTCTCCTTTATATTATCCCAATATTAAGAATCATTCAGCTCGTAGATAAGTAAATGAGCCCTTTTTTTTGTATTTGACGCTTGGATTGGGTGAAAAGTTTAATTGCTGGGGCGGTCATTATTTTTTGGCCTTTGTAATATTAACAATTGGCAAAAGCTTGGGTATTTCTCTCAATTTTCTGTGAGCTGAATTGTTTATTTACCTACTCTCCTCTGGGGTTTGTTAACTAGCTTAGCAACTCATCTTTAGCCTAAACCACTAGTAGTTTCAGTGAATAATATCTTCATTCTTCTGTTATATGTGCCACTCTTTGGATCTTATTTATTTATACTATGGATCTAACTTCAACATTGCTAGCCAAGCACTGTCTATCCAATAGATTCAAGTCACTCCAATTTTTATTTATTTGTAGCCCTGTCTTATATCTGTTAGTGTACTTAATGGGGTGTGTTGAAAAGACAATAAGTTTCAAATCTAGTCATACCAGATGTGATGCTTTGAACTTTTTTATTTTACCTTTCCCCTTTTTTTTTTTTTTTTTTTGTAGATCTTTGCATTTTAAATTTTAGTTTTGTCTTAGATATCTTTGGATGTCCCGTAGAATTTTTGCCAACAGCGCAGCAGTCATAACAACCCAAGGTTAAAATCCTGTATCAGAAGTACACCGGGCTCACTTGTTCATCATTACTGATGTGCAGGCAAATCTTTTGTAAATGCTGCCCAGGATTTTAACCATTGATAGTTCCAGGTATGCCCTCACAGCTTAGAAGAAGTAAATAGATTCTGGGACCTCTTTAATACTTAGATGAGGTTTCTGATGGATGATTCTCAAGCCATACATGAACTTAGTTAATAATTTAATGGATGAACCCTTTTAAATGCTACACATAGTGGGTTGTGTTTCAAGGCAACATTCTTCTGATGCAAGGAATGTAGTCTAGAACAACTTCTATGTCTGACTTATCACAAGTTTCATTTCATGTTATGAGGTACAGTATAGCAGTGACGGGACGGTAGATAGTGCGATGGTTACCAATATTTTGCCCCAAGAGGTGCTAGTAGTGCTACACAGGGCCAAGTTTGAGTAGCCCACTTGCGGACCAAGTAAATCAGAAAAAAGCAATAAAGTGTTATTATTTTTTCATAAAGGAATAAAAGGCATCTGTGGGAAATTAGTATTTTTGCACTTTATAAACCAAACCCTTTTGCTCAATCACCCCCCTGCTCAATGTGGAACCTTCCACCAAGAGCTCTAGGCAGAGATGAGTTGATGGAGCTCTTGATCCAGGCAAACCTCAGAGGATGATAGGTGGAGACATGGTACAAATAAACTCACAAGAAATGCATCTTAGTTGATAAGGGATATAAAGCATTTATAACCCATTTTCAGGAAGTGTGTCCACTAAGCCATAATGCACTGTTTTCATTACCCAAGATGGCAGAAGAGTTCTAAGAGTGACCTACAAACCAACCAGTGGGCACATTGACCCTAGCAGCAGTATGGGTGTGTTGGTGGTGGTGGTGGTGGTGGTGTGGTGGTGGTAGTGGTGGTGTTAGGGCTGCCACAACACGATGATCATTTAACCAACCTCTACCAATGGAGTAGGGTGAACCACGGCTTACACCTAGGTTTATTTTTATGTGTTGTCTTGTTAGAGAGCTTTATCATTAAAAGTAAGGAAGTGTTGAGTGTTCTTCACTGTGTTGTGAAATTGCAGCTGGACTATTCATGATAGGTGGTGATATTTGATAGAAATGAAGGGACAGTTATTTTGCAGTGAATTAAAGGCATTATGATCACATTAGAATTTAAGGGATCATTGGTGGGTTGAATTTTGTGTCCTCATGCACTCTTCTTTAGCTGGAGGACAAAGTTGTAATCCAGGATCCTCTTTGGTAGCTTAGGGTGAGGCAGCTATAATAGAGAAGGCAGCTGTGTAGTCTTATAGGTAAGCCTCCATAAAAGAATATTAATGATGTAGTTTAGTTTTGCTGATGTGAAAGGTGCAGTTGCCAGTTTTGATTTTTTGTTAGGCTGACTTGTGCCATAGTCCAATATATAAGGATGGGAGTCATTATATTAACAGGGGTTATAATAGCTTACTTCATGGACCAAATAGATGCACTTCTTGGGGTATATACTTAGATAAAATGAATGTGAGTTCATTGTTGTGTTAGCATAGCAATCAGTGGTAAGGAATCAGCTGCTTTGTGTTTATTTACTCAGCTGATGTCTCTCCCTCCTGAGTCTTCCTAAGTGTGGGGTTCATCCTACTATTTTTAACACCTCCCGATGATAACTTGTGCACTGGAGGTCCTTTTAAGGTGCCGAGACCCTCTCGTAACCCCACTGGAGCACGCTGGGTTGCTATTTATTAACTTTGTGTAGGAAATGTCTTAGGGTTCAGTTTTCCACGCCCCAACTATTAGTGTTAAGGTCAAGTGCCAAAGTGGTAATAGAGAGAGTCATTTACCATCATCCATGTCTGTTTCATGTCTTTATAAAGTTAAACAAGAGGCTGTTCACTACATAACATTGGCCACTAGTATACCCTTGATGCCTCATTCATCGATGACGGTTTTCTATAGAAGTTTTTAAGGTAGGACGATCGTCATCACTCTCCCGGGCATCAGGCTGGCTGCTAATGGTAAATGTCGTACAAAGTTAAATTAAAATAAAATATTTTGATGAGAGTCGACACCACCACACCACTACGATGCTGCAAAGCCCTCGAGCCATGCAAATATGTTGATGACTGTGTTTACTTAGATGTATACAGGATTACCA